AAATAAATGCAATCTTTAAAAATCTTTTTTCTTTATTTCTGGACATTAAGCAGTCAAACTGTTGTTTAGATTGCAATAAGCACTGAGCACTCTACCAAAATTGTCAAATTATGGCCCCTGGGTCAGAGGTTCTGGCGCTAGGGCGGGGCTCGAATGATTGTATAGCGAAAATGCATTAATTCTTAAAAAAATCATTAAAAATCTTCTTCTCTGCTCCTGGGTATATAGCCAACGAATCGGTACATAGTTATGATGAGCAAGCGTGCCCGATCTTCCAAAAATGTGAATATTATGGCCACTGGGTCAGGTTTCTGGTGCATGTTAGGGCTGCATGGGTATTAAGCCGATGGACTAAATACATTATATAAGTTATGAGGAGGAGGAGTGCCTCCTCCTAAATTGTGAATTTCATGGCCCATGGGTTAGGGTTTGTGTGTGTGGGGGGGGGGGGGGGGGAGTATTAATTATATACTGAAAATAAATTGATGCTTTGAAAATCTTCACCTCTGCCCCTGGGTATTAAGCAAACAAACTCAATACAAAGTTATGATGAGAAAGGGTGCCTCTTCCAAAATTGTGATTTTCATGGCCTCTTGGTCAAGAGTTCTTGTGCTTGGGAAGGGCTCTATTGATTAATTAACAAAAATGCAATAATGCTTTGAAAATCTTCTCCTCTGCCCCTGAGTACTAAGCAAACACACTAAATGCAATAATATCAATGTAAATGTATTAAATATAACTTTAAGTAAATGTGCCTTTCTTTGTCCCTGAGTATCTACTATCTAGGGGCTAAACAGAGTACATAATTGTAATAAGTGAAGTATATGAGAGTTACTCCCCTTTGCTAGATGTTTTAATCAAGAAATCCTTGTATTTAATTTAATTAACAGGTCATTTAATTGAATGAATACAAGAAAGAATGTTATATACATAGGAACAAAATAAATGAATGTTTGATTTAAATGAGAAAAGCATGCTCAAAGTCAGATTCTTGCCTGGAAAGCAATATAAAAAGACTGACATAAAGATTATTTATATATTTAGAAGTTGTAATTGTATACAGCATGTTTATACTGTGGTGATCTGTTTGACAGTTGATGAGTTGTTGTCACGCAAAGACATGTTTGACAAGAGACTGCATGGATAAAGTTGTTTTATACTTTATCAAAGTGAATAAAAAATCACAGAGAGTCAGGGTGACTTGTTGTAATTAGTGACAAGTAGCAATTAGCCAACTCTGTGTGTACTGAATTGTAGCACTAGGCATGTGACTGAAACACATCTGTATATATTGAATAGTGTACCTTACACAATAGGCAAGTGTCCATTGTATTTGTATATTTTGCATTCTTTATCCCTTTAAGACTTGGGAAAACCAAGTATGATCCCAAGGAAATCACTCGGGGTTAGCACGTTACAATAAGCAAGGGTATTTTTACCAGATTTTTGAAATTCTTGGGCAATATATCGCTTTGCCTTTCAGTTAATTTTGTTTTATACTTCTATGGATCCTCTAAATTGTTGTATTATACTCAGGTGACCGTTAAGGCCCTTGACCCTCTTGTATTAAAAATATTCTAATTCAAATATACTCCGAGGTTAATGATAGTAGAAAGATTTTCTCATTGGCAGTATCTATATGTAGCTTTTGGAGACCTGGTCTTCCAATAATCCGTTAGAATTCCCATGAGTAATAATTGTACCCCGTTATTAGTAGACAAATTATATGAACAAGATTTGTCAGACTCTGTGAAGTCTTTATGCGATCCCAAATAATTATTATTATTAATGTATTTGTATTATGATTTGTAATGTATATCTTTGCCTGAATAAACATAATATGTCGAGTTCAGTGGGAGTATTGAATCAACGTAATTAAGAATGAAAATGACTATATTTAATTATTTATTAATTGATAAAACATTGTCGATAGATCTATAAGTCGAATTGACTTCTTTTTTTCATGTGAAAGTTTTTGAACTAATTTTGCTTCATATGAATAGCCTACATCAACAAAACTGCTAATACAGGGGCACAATTATAAGTACCATGGGAATTATACTACAGATGTTTGGAAGACCTGGTCTCCATAAACTTAACATAGATATTGTAAATGAGGATTTCTAAATTCTGTGAGCAAGTAGTACGTTTTGATGTTATTGATGTTAGTAAATATAAAAAAATAATTTCAAATAATGGACCCCAGGGGTATGCTGGGGTCTGGTCACAATAGTTAGGGTTGGATTTTAAACAAAATTCGTAAAAAGAGGAAAATTTAATCTCTCCATGGGTAGATGAAATTCATTTTTTCTCTTCAAATTATGGCTTCAGTTGAGAAGGATGTGGTATAAAGAATTAAAAGATTTTGAAGAACGGCAGAGCCACAATATAAATCATACTGATGTGCAAAAATCCCAGAAATTGAATAAACAAGTTTATTAAAATCATGGCCACAGGGAAAGGGTGTGGCCAAAAATAAATGACTGAAATATATATTTACAGGGAATGTAGAGGGTAAACAAGTTAAAAGTCTTCTTAAAACAACAGGGGTTACACTACTACTCATACTTCATGCGGAAGAAATATATACCTCCGGTAAAAAAAAATTGGCATTGCAATACCCTCAGGTGCTCACATCTTTAAAGAGGAATTCAAAGGGGAACATAGGAAATAATTTTTAAAAAATCTCAAAAGTAACAGAGCCATCTTGTTAACGAATCTTTAAAATTAAATTGTACAAACGATTTTCAAAAGGTTTTAACTACTTCATTTCCCCCCTGCTTTATGAAAATGGTACGAATATACGCAGATGTAAATTTAATATTGAATTATATTTACATCTGGTATATATTCAAGATAATAGTACATTCATCTATCGAACTAATATGCGATTTACACATGCATATATAGAAAACAACATGAATAAACAAATCTTGTCTGTAAAGAACATAATTTAGCAAACAGTTATTATTTCTGTAATATTATACTTTCATGTAAATTAGTTGAATATGATTCGTCGAGAAACATTTGTTAAAAAACACTGTTACCCGCTGAATGTTGAAGCCACGCCCTCCAGCGTAGCAACAGTCAACATTGCTTGACGACGGATGATATTCTTAAAAATAGTGACTGCGCAGAATTTATGCGCGCAAGGTTCACTGTTATAAGTATTTGTATAAAACATTCAGTATAATATAATAAATATTGCATGTAGTTGAGTGTAACATTGAAAATTTTTACCCCAAGAAAACCATTGTCATCCGAGGCGCTGCCGAGGTTGACAAGGGTTTTCTTGGGGTGAAAATGTTACACACAACTACATGCAGTATTTATATAATGCCAAAAAATCCGATATTTAAAGATATGACCAAGCTTATAAGAGTTTCTTGATATTATTTCGATTTTGCCTGTGAATAAGGCTACTGGTCCAGACAATATGTCATCTCAGTAGTGTTAAAATGTACTGAATTTACGATATCAAAACCCTTATGTATGCTTTTTAGAAAAAATCTTTTCCAAACGATTGGAAAATAGCCTCATGTATTGCCACTGAGCAAGAAAGATGACCCCTCTGTTGTTAGTGATAATGCAGACCAGTCTCTCTTCTAGGTTGTAAAATCATGGAAAAATATTTTTTAAACATGTATGCATTTTTTTTTCATGAAAACGATTTTTTTTTTCAAATATCAGGCTGTTTTTGTTCGTTTTCTTTTCTTTTCTTTCTTTTTTTTGGCTGGGTCACACTATACTGTTTTTTCCCCTTTTTCATAGCTACATGTATTTGAAACATGCATTGTTCAAAGTATTGAAGATTGTAAAGTTTGCTGCATGATTGTCTGTGATTTCTCAGAGATGGATATTTTACAATAGTTTACAAGTTATTTATATGCAATGGAAAAAAAATAGAAAAAGTTCAGTTAAGTGCCGCTAAAATTGATGCAGGTTTACCACGTTTAGAATCGACGAATCTCTCTATTTAGAAACAGGCTGGGAACCTCTTGTTAATTTAAATGTCGTCATACAGCTGGGTTAATAATTTAATTCAAAATCCATACTATTATCAAGTACCTGACTACTTAAGTATCTTTCCTCCCCCCCCCCCCCCCCCCCCATAAAAAAGGGTTCATTACATAAAACACGAAACAGTGAAGATTACAATGTTCCAATAAGTAGATTAGAACTTTACAAATAATCTTTTGTACCCGACACTATTCGAAAATGGAACTCACTGAAATTAGAACGAAGTTAGAGAAGCATTTTCTCATTGTAAAATACAAACACATCTGCTGCGTTGGGGTGTCAAACTTGTGATATGAACTCCTTTTTTTTCAGCAGTTCATAAATATATAAATGAATATGGAATATTTAGCTAATATTTCAGTACATTTATGTAATTTTTTTCATTATTGCAATATTATTGTACTTTCTAATTATCAGGAGAGGAGCTTGTAAGTTGACGGAACTTGTTTCCGATCTTCTGTTTATCAGAATGTTATTACACGTACTATTGGCATTTGTTTCTGTAATAATTTTGTCACCCTATAATTTACTACACTGTGGGGTAAAAAATGATTAAAGATATAAGTGCCTGTGAATTACACAATATGTTCAAGTCAAAGATTCGACAATTAATGAATAAATGAATGAATGAATAAACAAATAAGTAGAAAATAAATAAATAAATACTATAGTAAATAAATAAATAAATAAATACTAGTAAATAGATAGATAAATAAATAAATAAATAAATATTAAATAAATAAATAAATAAATAAATAAATAAATAAATAAATAAATAAATAAATAAATAAATTATAATATTACACATGACTAACATGCCAAATAAACACTCAAACTTTCTGTTCTGTCTATTTTATTGATTTTCATATTCTGGTTAGATATTTGTAAATTATTTATGTTGAATATATCAATTTTAGAACTAACTCGTCCAACTATGCCACTAATGAATGGTCCCCAGTCACGTGACAGGTTATGTTATTCAGAACCGCCATCTTGAAATACGTACCGCACATCCTCCCCTTTTCACGTTGTACGGAGAGGGTCTTAGACCAGAGGAGGGGGTCGTTTGGCCCTAATATTCGAATTCAGTGATTGGAAACACGATAATTTAACAGCAATGTCAAAACAAAGCATAATGGACCGCGTTACAGCGGCAAAACACAGTATTGCAGGCCAAGGATTGGCCAAGGTTGTGTGTAAAGCTACTACCGAGGAGGTGATGGGACCCAAAAAGAAACATTTAGACTGTAAGTACTGGTCTGTAGGATGGTTTGTGTAATTAGTGGATAGACTGCAAATGAAGGTTTATCCATGGTCACTCGGATGTTACGTAAAGCGCAGTAGTTTGACAGAATTCTCGGTCGGAATACCTGTCGGAATATGGGGATCTGCAGTGACAACAGTCAGTAGTCAGAATTTGTCTGCCCCTGCTGGTATAATCAATGTTTCAACTCTGTATGCAACGCTGTCAAAATGGATTTTTGATTAATCGATGTACTTCGGTGCCTTTTTTGCTAACAAACGCACTGCTGTAATACATACATGTATACAGATGTGTAGCAGGCTATAAGATTTTCGTGTTCATGGGGTTTCTGGGCCTGGCCTGTTTTAGAGCTGTAATGGTTGCACTAAAGTTTTCAATGGAAGATAGACAAAATAATGATGTAGTAAATGAATGACAGTTGAAAACTGTATTTACTTAGCCAGATTTTTTTTCCTTTGCAGTGCCCCCCCCCCCCCCTTCCCATTTCCAGTCTGCATCATATCACCAGATTGCCCTTAGAATGTTCCAACATAGGAATGATTTTGAAATCATGTAAACTGGACAGGTGTTTTCAGAATGTGGTTAAAGCAATTGGTTCCTGATTGCTAGAGAGTGTTCCGTTGGTGTATTTTATGTAACACATTTACATTAAAGTCTCGACATATGTTGGAAATGGGCAATAATACTTTCAGGAAAAAAGAAGTAAATCATAAAATGGCTCAAATTTCTGAGAAAAGTTCTCTAAATATCTAGGGTAGGGTGGTGTAATTTCAACCAACTGGATTATAATTTCAATCATTCATGAACACCTTTAGATATTTTGTTAACTTAATAACATTTCTGTGTATGTACATGTATCTGTTTTATGCAGAATCAAAATTAAGCATTTTTGATGTATTGTGTCGATAATAATTTTATTTCCATGAGCATCAGGTGTTTACTAGACTATTATGATATCCAAAAAGAGGCTGTATCGTCCAAAAAGTTACGGATAAGTAAAGCCATTTTGAGAAATCCTGAAATTATTTGTGTAGAAAGTTATTCAATGAATATTCCTGGCTTGGCATTTAACAAAGTTTCAAGTGAAATTTATGCAAAAATAATTTATTTAATAAAATGGTTAGTTTTTACATAAATTAAAATGCAAATCACTTGGACAGGAATCGTCCAAAGAAACCCCTGCTTGGATACTGCTTCAGTGAGTAATTTTGACCAATGACAAATGACGCAATGAATACTGCAGCAATATGACTTTTACTGGGAAGAATTTATGAGTATGACCGTAAGAAAAAAACAGGATAAGGCCAAATAAAAAATATGAATGGTTCCGGTTACCCGACCGTCTCTATTTTATATCCCCGACCCTAAACTTTTTTTTGACAATTTTCAAATTTCCGTAATTTTCCCCGATTTCTCTCATTGGCTCTGGTATTAGTTTTAGTTTCAGCAATGGTGGCTTTCTTTGGCAACATCATTTCAACACGCCGTACAAGTGTTTTGTCAGTTACAAATGTCACCACTTGAAAGAAAGCAATAGTATTATCTCACTAATATCACCAATAGTTAATTCAAGAACATTCAATAATATTTTTGACGTTTATTATATTTAAAAAAAAAAAATAACTACCTACCTACCCTAATTTGTTTGGAGGTGTAACCGGAACCACACATTTTTTTATTTGGCCTAAGTATTATGTTCATGTATACTCAGTAGAAACTTATTCTACAACTTCTCAAAGAACAACAAAGGCATGATTAGTTGTATATGGAATCATCTTCAAGTAGTGTAAATCAAAGTTTGTTCAAACCATGACCCCTCAGGGGTAGAGTGGGCCACAAAAGGTGTTCAAGTTTTACATAAGATAGCTAAGGGGAAAAAAAATCTTTAAAATTCTTCTATTCAAGAACAGCAAGGGCATGATTAGTCATGTTGATATGGAAGCATCCTGAGGTAGTGAAGATAAGGCCAAAATAAAATTATTGTTTGTTTGGAATTGCCTCCCATTTGTTTGGAATTGCCTCCCACCTCATCGAAATTACCCTGAAAAAAAAAATTATTGGCCACATCTAAGATTTTTTTTTAAATTTTAATTTAAGCAATTCGTGGCTTAATCACATATGCCACCCAAACACCTAATTAGTGTGGGGTCTAAGCAAAATCTGGGTTCTTGGTTGATGGGTGATACCTTGTACAAAAAGCATTAGCAAAACAATGTGTTCACTGCTTATTGAGATTTTTAACATTGTTTTTAATTTAACTTCAATTTTGAGTAGTTTTTAGGTAATGCACTTAAAGTTTGTTTAGATCATGACCCCAGGGGTAGGGTGGGGCCACTATAGGCAATCAAAGTTTTATTTGAATAAATGGGGAAAAAGTTTGCTGATGAACAGTAAGGCCATAGTGACTCGGGTGAGCATTGTGGCCCATGGGCATTGATATTGATATGTTAATTTGTAAATAACATTTAAGTGTAAAAAAGACATGGCTTTCTTAAAAAAGACATTGTACAATCAGATTTCTACAATGTATGATACTTCACATTGGGAAGGAAGTTGTGACACTGTCAGAAAAGTGTGTGTCTGTTTATAGCTTCATTTTCCTTGTACCCAGAAATAGGATTTTGTTCACTCAAGATTTAACATATTAGATTTGATCTTCTTTTATAATCTGTAAAATTGATTTTGTTCTTTGTTTACTATGAGTTTTGCGTCATTGTGAACAAGGGTCGAATTTAGATACCCTGGAAGTTTGAATCAAGTGTCAGGTTTTGTTTGGGCATCTGTGAATTATCTGATAATTACTAAGTGAAATCAATGCATAAAATTAACAATTAGCTGAAAAAAATGTTATTTATGTTTATTTATTTGCATATTTAATCCGATAGATATTTGCTGAATCTAGCAATCTTGTCACATTAGCAGGTTTAGAACATGTCTAGATTACATGTGAACATTCATTTGAAATGAACCTAGTAAATATTAAGATGTTTTAAAAATGAGTAGAATTAATTTGTAATTATATTACAAATCAGTACATGCAGTAAGCCTGGTGTTCTTTCAATAATTCAGTGAGTGAGTACTTTTAGTTTCATAATCAAACATCGACCAATGCATGACAATACTCCACAGCTATGGAGTTGATACAGCTGTAACTAGCAGGGCATCACTATACAACACAGGATGTCCTAGAATGAATAATCAATCAATTGCTGAATCTTATATCATCTTTATCAAACTGTAGAAGTCATTCCATGAAGGAGGCTATTGGAACAGAATCCTGTGTACTAGTGCTGGAATGTCAGGCCTCTAACTGCAGTAAAGACTTATTGATCTGTGGATAAAGGCATGGCCTACTCTGTAAACTGTGAACAGTTTTTTTTTCTCAGTGAAATTCAGCATTAATTGTGGATGGATTTAGGGCTCAGTTTATCTACTTTAGATTCCAACAATCCAAACATTACCAGGAATCAGATTTCAACTTGAACTTGTTAAATGGGAACACATAACATTAATTCATCACATGTGCCACATATATAAAATTGAACATGGTCTAAGCATCTCAAGTTATTGCCTATGTATACACACAAATCTAAAGCAGACTTGTCTATGATGTCTGTCAGACATTGGTCAGTTTTAACTTAAAAAAATTTGGTAAGGCAGGAAACTGATGACATGGTGGTTTGTCCTTCTAAACTCATGATGAGAATGGGTGTAAATGTGAGGGACCCAGGCATATATTACAGTTAACTCAACCTAACTACCCAGGCATATATTACAGTTTGCTGACTTAATGACCCATACATATTACAGTTAACTGACCTAGCAACCCATACATATTACAGTTAACTGACCTAACAACCCATACATATTACAGTTAACTGACCTAACAACCCATACATATTACAGTAAATAAACAGATGTTAAAGATGTAATAATCATATGTCATGTTTACCTTAATTAGACAATGTCTAGTCATGTAGGCTTGGAAGGAATAAAAGGCACTGGTCAGGGGATGGCATTATGGATATAACTTAGATGTTTTACAGAAATGTCTTAATTCAAAGAGGTTGTGGTACAGTCACTCAAAACTTTCAGTTTTGCTGGAGAGATGAGGTTGTGGCACACACTCTTAAGCTTTCAGTTGAGAAAAATGGGGTTGTGGCACACACTGTAAAGCTTTGCTGGAGAAATGTCTTAGGCTGTATCTGGGGTTGTGGCATACACTGTAAAGCTTTGCTGGAGAAATGTCTTAGGCTGTATCTGGGGTTGTGGCATACACTGTAATACTTTGCTGGAGATATCGGGGGTTGTGGCACACACTGTAAAGCTCTGCTGGAGAATTGTCCTAGACTGTATCTGGGGTTGTGGCATACACTGTAATACTTTGCTGGAGATATCGGGGGTTGTGGCACACACTGTAAAGCTTAGCTGGAGAAATATCTTAGGCTGTATCTTGGATTGTGGCACACACTGTAAAGCTTTGCTGGAGAAATGTCTTAGGCCTTATCAGGGTTTGTGGCACACACTGTAAAGCTTTGCTGGAGAAATGTCTTAGGCCTTATCAGGGTTTGTGGCACACACTGTAAAGCTTTGCTGGAGAAATGTCTTAGGCTGTAGCTGGGGTTGTGGCACACACTGTAAAGCTTTCAATCGAGAGATTTGCTGGAAAAATGAGGTGGTGGTGCACACACTGTAAAGATTTGCTGGAGAGATGAAGTTGGGAGAGAGGGGTTGACTCTGCTATAAGGATTTGGTATATAAAATAAGAATTTTTATATTTTTATGTTTTGTAAGGACATGGCATCGGTACATGTAGTTGGAATTATAACAAAACTCTAACAATGTCTCTCTTGTATAATGCTATTAAGTGCTTGAGTGTTTAGTGCATTAGTATTCATGGTATTTACAACCATAATTCAACAGTATTGAACTGAAGCTAACTAAGTTCAGATTCTTTTCCTTGTTTGTCTCAATTGACTTTTTTAAATACTGTTTTTAGCTTCCCGTGCAGTATAAAATTTGAATTTTTCATGAAATTTAAAAGGGCAGGCTGGGATGGGGTTGGGAGGGTGGGATGGAGATTTGCTAATGATGTAGCCCTATTATAGTGCTAAGACTAGCAGAATAAAGTCTTGACAAGCAAGATTAAGGAAGCAATGACTGGGTTTATTCAGAAACCATAGACCTAAATTGTAAAGCACCTGTCAGCTATTGATTTGTAAGGTCACAGGGTTCGAAATTCACTATATACAACTCCCAAAACGCGTGTTAGAATTCCCAAATTACGAGTTAAAAATTAGGTAACTCGCAAAAACTTGCGAGTTGATTTTCTTTGCATTGAAACTGTAGCAAAATTATATAATATGACAGAACACAATACTTTTGATTTAAATCAGTAATTTAAATAAAAGTCACCCTGTAGCTGTATTTTGTGTATTGTACAGTAGTTACCTTTTCCTTAAGTTACATGTATTTAATTTATATAAAATTTTACTTTATATGAAAATTGTGAGTAGTCTCATAAAATTGCGAGTTCACTTTCTTGGTACTCGCAATTATTTGCGAGTTGTAATTTTAGGGAGTTTCTAACCCTGCGGTCATGGAAGTGTTTTTATTTTATTGATCATTTGGAGGCTACATACAAAATATTTGGAAACTGAGCATGTGCTCATGGTACGATGAAGAAACTATGTAATAGAATGAGAGAAAAATGTTTATGTGAAGGAACCCCCACTGTCCAGTCCCTTGCCCTTCTTATTGAATGAATAAAACACCAAGCATGCAGGGTTAATCCATTTTAGTTTTTTGCTTTTATAAGTGAAGGTAAAAGTATTGATAAGGAGAGGAAGCTTTATGATTGACATTAAGACTTGGTCATTAGTTGTATTACTATATATAATATAGATGACTCTCAGGGGGGTGGGGTAGGTAGGCATGTTCACAGTTTTCCTGTCAGAGTTCTAGTGTTGCAGTGTCTCTCAGTGAGATCCCTATGAGGGAGGAATCAATAACTCCCACTGAACAAAGAATATTCAGTATTAATAATTCAGTCACTGTGTTTATACTGTAGAGTGTGATGATGTAACATGAATGGGATACACATAACCTATTACCAATTGCTTACTCTGCCTAAACAATATTCAGTGGAAGAGATTGAGGGGAAGGGGGGGGGGGGGTATTAGGGTTTGAGATTGTGTCTACCTCAAATCAACAGTACTTTTTGTTTAGAAATGAAAAAAAAAAGTAGTGACAGTATGTATCATATTATGTGTGTCTGCTGAAAATGATGGTTATCTTTGATCAAGGTATTAAAGTCCCACCTTTTACCCACGAAAACTTTATACCAAGTTCATTTTTTCTTCCAGACCTTCATATAAGGAACCCGCCCATTCCTTTCCAAGCCTCTAATAATTGACCCCCTTTCAAGGCTCTATAGAGGAACCCCCTGTCTCTCTCCCCCTTCCCAAGCCCCCAGATCTGTGCCCCTCCAAAGTCCCCTCTCAAGCCAAAACTCCCCTAATATTTCCCCTTTAAGCATCTATAATAGAACCCCACCTTTTTCTACAGTGCTACTGTTGTATAGAGCCTCAGATGCAGTACCTTATAGAAGTGTGTTTTCATTCTTAAAATTGTTGATGGAATGCTTTACTCCCAAGATAACAATTTCTACCCGAGAGTCAATTGTTAGAAGGTCATTGGGATATCATATTTCGTCATTTCATACATGAGTTTAAGATATTAAAATCTGAAGGGTTCAGGATGATTTTTTACATTGATAAACATACAGTACAGATAGCAGAAGGCTGGCATTTTCTGATAAAACACTGAGACTGATAAAAAGATAAACATTGAGGGGATTCCTTGCTTGATTTAAATATAAAAAATAAATTCATTTTTCTTTGTTGAGTATCATTTTTTTATTTAGTTAATCTTGAGTATAATGCATTCAAACTAATTGTGATAATACAATTATAATGTTAACCAGTTCTCATGTATGCTTATTGATGAACATAGGATGTCACAGTGATAAGAATGACTTTCATAATTTAAAAAAAAGAAAGCTCATTCCAGATTTTCTTATTTTTTTTTTAATTATTATCAATCAAATTTAGGCTTATGAATTGGGGTATTCACAAAAAAATATCTTAAGTGTTTCCAAATTGTAGCTCAGTTTACAGTAGTGAGTTCTATTTTAAATTAGCCATGCCAATGATTTCTATTTTTAGCACTGTCTATTTTACTACTTGATATAATATATATTGTCAGTGTATTTATTTAGAGAACATTTACAGTAGGTATATCATTTAGTCCTATTCATTATGACATAGAAGTCAGTTGGTGGGGAAATTCTATAATGGTGTACAGTGAGTTCTGTTTATAGAAGTTCAGAAGTGAGTTTTATTTGTTATTTAGACATGTATCAATAGTACATTCATTGTTTCAATGACTTTTACATACAGTACATTCAGTGAGTAAGATCTCTTTTGTATTTCAGATTTAATACAGTGTACAAACGAACCCAATGTCTCAATCCCCCAGCTAGCAGATCTTCTAATCGAACGCACCCAACACCAGAGCTGGGTCATTGTCTTCAAAGCTCTCATCACCACACACAACCTTATGAACTATGGAAATGAGGTAAGAACCCCAAGACTGCATCAATTTATTCTGGAGGGAGATGTTCAAACTCTTACAGTCGTTAAAATCTGAAATACTTGCTGTAGGACTGTTTCACATTGACATACCCCAATCAAAGTTTCATTTATTAGTGATGAAAACATTGTTTTACTTGCTTATTCTATGAGCGATTTGATATTTTTTTCCAAATATTCTTTTGATTACAACTTTACAAGTCAGTGTTAGGTCAAGGCCACACTTAGAGTTCAGAGGTCAAATATGAATTAATACTGAAAGATTTTGCCTCTGGTGATTCACAAGTTTATCCCTAAACTTTTTTTTCATTCCTGTATGTCTTGTTTTATTACAGAGGTTCACACAGTACCTGGCTTCCAATAATTGCTCCTTCAACTTGGCACAGTTCATCGATAAACAGGGAGTCCAAGGTAAGAGTACTTGTCAACCTTATAGAATCAGGATAAAGCTGTGAAGTTTACTATCGCACCATCATACCATCAACACATACTGTAAACGTATTACATTTGGCATTGTTTTCTAATTAGCGTGTTTGACGGAAAGCAGATTCTGCTAAATCAAGTACAGGCCTTGTATATTATTTATGTACATTTAGCATATTCAGAAACCGCTTATTCAAATTTATGCTAACTTGCTAAAAAATCAATTTCCGCCAAATGTACATTTACTGTAGTCAATGGTGTATTGATGCAATGATGATGCGATGGTACAGATGTGTGATAGAGCATCATGTGGTTGTGTCATCGCACCATCATCATTGCTTTATAAAGTCATCACTATCGTATCATTGCGTTGTCGTGATATCATCACACTATCATCGTCAAATTATTGCATCATTTGCATAAATTTATTATCAATCATCATTGCATTATCATGTAAATGGCACTACCAACCCAAAGCTTTAAAGAAATCTTACTGAAGGCATTTTTCAGTTGTGAATAGAAATGACTAAAAATAATTCCTCAGATGTTATTTGCTCCTCTGAAAAGTTAGTACGTCTAGTTTTGGGTGTGTTGGTGACTTTCAGTATACTACCTAATGCCTCATTGTCAGATATTTCGTCCTCAGCCTGACGTTTCCTTACTCACAGGTCTGATTGCTCATGTTAAGTTTTTACAAATTCTTATCATGCTAATATGATCTCTTTGTCAGTTTTTATACATTTATAACTGTATAATTTGAGAGAAGTATTTGGTCTGTTTGATTATTTTTTTGTTGAACAAATTTTATCTTTTTTTAGGCTATGACATGTCAACCTTCATTAGACGATATTCCAAATATTTAAATGAGAAAGCTGTCTCCTATCGGCAAATGGCCTTTGATTTCTGCAAAGTCAAAAGAGGGTAAGTGGAAAAAACTCCCCTTTAATCCCACCAACATAAACATGTACCCCTAAAGTAATGTTGTGCTCTGATTGAAGCAAAATTTCATTTTTGTTATCCAGTACAGAATATATAGTACTACACTAGATGTGTTCAATATTACAGATATCTTTCTGCTGATAAAATTTGTAAGAAAACACATTTTTACAGAAAATCAAAATTCTCAAAAATACATCTCATGTTGCTTTTAAAAGATGATGAAATATCAGTAGTTTCATTTGATAAAATGTGTTGGAATTCAGTCCAAATTTGCTCTGTATATAGAGCTGGATATATCTGCATTCGTAGAAAACTCTGGGGGTCTATGTCATAGTGTTAGCAAATACTGGAATAAAGCATACACTGACAGCCAACCAGAAAGAGGCATGATCAATGAAATCTGCCCGACAGTAACACAGCATCTTAGGAGGTCGTTTATGGAATTGAGGGAGTTTTATTGATTTGAAAAGTCATTATGTTCAATACAGAAACAATGGAGGACCATCAGAATCAGGCTGGGGTATCCAGTGTAGGCTTGTCAGCAGGGGGATAACGAACAGAAGAGTTACACTAGAGCATCTTCCGTGTTTACATTTCAAATAGAAATACTGATGTTAGGGAGATCAATAATCTACTATGGCCTCTATAAGTACCACTGTTAAACAGAGCAGTAGCTGAATTGACTGCACTTTAGCAGACTTAAGCCATAGGATCAAACGAACCTTCTCCTGATCAAAGTTTCTCTTGCATACACTTACTTGATGTCCCTCTATTTGTTGACCAGTATATGTTTCAAATTTTTAACATCAACATGGAAACTGGATCAATGTTAATCTAATTTTCTTTTAGAAAGAATGATTGGTTAAAGTGAAGTCTAACTGTTGGGGGGGGGGGGGGGGTCTAATTGGCTTTGGTGAAGGGCCCTGTATATCTCTAAGGGGAGATAATATAAAAAATAATGGTCATAATGAACAATCAACCAGAATGGACAAAGTAATTTGGGTGTTTCATTATGTAGTCTAGTTTTCTTGTTCTTTATAGCTTGTTTATCTGACAGGGGTGAGTCGCAATATGGGAATATAGTTTTAAATAGGAATTTGTCTTAATCTACTTTAGAGCAGCAGTGATGTGCTAGATCTTTAAATTTATTTAATTTAATATATTAAACATCTAGGAATTGAACATATTTTATTGTAAATACATGTATCATACAAAGGTTCAAACACAGGTTCTAGCTTACAGGGTTTTCGCCCTTAATAGTTACACCTGCAGTTGAACTTTAGCATCTTGAAGACTGATACTTCGAATACCATGGATATGTCAGATTTTGAAGTCCCGACCCCTTATTCTTTAATTTTTTTACCCTGGATACCTCAAATCCTCTGATTTCTTGAAGTTTTTTCTTGGTCCCACTGAGTTTGAGATAACGAGGTTTGACTGAATCTGAATTTTAAATGTGTAAGTTTGATATTCCCTAGCAACTTGATCATGACTACTGTAGATCACCAAATTTTCGTGACACCTTATTTTAGGGAGATAGGCATTTGGTTTTTATAAGCTAGACAAAATTTTCACGAACTCAAATTTTTGTTGTACATAATCTATACTAATAAATATATACAGGAGAGTAAAATTTTTGCGAGCAGCCCGTCTTGTGTAATTATGCCAAAATATATTTCTAGACCGTCTTGTGTAATTACGCCAAAATATATTTCTCTTGAATAAAAAATAATTTACAGTACATGAAATTTTATATATAAATATGCTTGCTTATAAAAACGTAAGAATACCACCAGCGAGACATCAACATTTACTTAAGTTAATTGTATGTAAACGTTTTAACTTCCATTTATTTATTTATTTTTGGTACATCTGAACTTGATGAATGAGTATTTACAACAGAGCCTACTGATAAAGGTCTAAACTTTTCATTGTATTTTTCAGCAAGGATGATGGCTTATTAAGGACAATGAATGCAGATAAGGTAAGGATTACAGAATGTTTGATGGGGAGGGTATGATAATAATGATGCTAAGGTAGGTAATTCTGCATATTTTTGACTTTGATTAATGTTAAAAGAAAAAAAGACTCTTGATTTTTTTCCATATTTGGACAGGAAAATTGATTTCTTAGACGCATAATACATGTTCTGTTATATTTGATTTTTTTTTATTTTTTAAAAAATAAAACTTTGAAACTTTATTTTATAACTGAAATGTGTTTGGATTAATTGGAATAATGATACTGATGATTTAGATGAATGACTGGCTCTCCGGTAGCTCATTAAGGACAAAGGTTAAAGTTCATGTGTACAAGTAGAATAATGATGCCAGCTGTAGAACAAAAACTTAGCAAACTGTAACGAAAACATTAATTAATGTTTTAAAGATGTGTCATTTTGATTGATTTATTCTAGCTTTTAAAGACACTACCAGCCCTTCAGAAGCAGTTAGACTCGCTGTTAGAATTTGATGTAAGTAAATAGTCAATCTGTCATTTTTGGTCAAGTCATGTTGACATCTTAGATATGTCATATTTAAAGATGACATGATAATTCTGTCATGTTTAATCATGTCAGATTTTAAGATTCATTGACCCTCGGATAAGAGAGATAACTCTAATTGGATTAACAACTATTAATCCCTTTAAAATTTGTCAAATTATACCACGATTTCTGTCAAATACTGCAGCACAATGTTTGCTGAAATTGTTCACATTTTGATTTCATCTATAGATGGTTTAGAGATCTTTTAGGAAATGATTATCATAAAAGCCAAATTTATACAAGTGAACAGTGGGGGTGATGAACCTTAAGCAGTGAGGGTAATTCTGTAATTTTTCTGATGATTTATATTGTAAAATGATAAAATGTAATGTTTATCTCTTACAGTGTGCTCCAAATGAGCTTACAAACGGAGTCATCAACGCCTGTTTTCTTCTAATGTTTAAAGACCTGATTAGATTGTTTGCCTGTTATAATGACGGCATCATTAATTTATTAGGTAGGGAACATCATCAAGTTATGAGGTAGGGAACATCATTAATTTATTAGGTAGGGAACATCATTAAGTTATTAGGTAGGGAACAGTTATCTAAGTATGGGACTTTTTTATCAAAGACAATTCGCAATAATTTAGAATTCATTTCTTTTAGAAAAAAGTCATATTCTTGTGTCTTTTTTCCCCAAAACTATGAAAATTCTCATCACAGAATGTTTTTTTTTCGAAAAGGATTCAGTCCTTAAGCACAAATTACAGTATGTTTGAATTATTGTATTCTGATGAAGTTTAAAGAGATTCTGCATATTTTTTTTGGCCAGTCAATTGGTAGATTTGTAGATTTAACTTGAAAAAAAATTGTGATTTATTTTTCAGAAAAATACTTTGATATGAATAAAAAGCAATGCAAAGATGCTTTAGAAATTTACAAGAGATTTTTAGTGCGGATGGATAAAGTATCAGAATTCCTGAAAACCGCAGAAGTAAGTCTAATTAACAGTTAAATTATTTATTATCATTTGTTATCGCTGTAGTATAAGTGAGTAGGTTGTAGCTAGGCTTCTGTATCAGAAATGTGATGCTAAAAGCTCTATTCTTCTTAAAATGACAGAAAAAATTTTCTTTTTTAAATTCACAATGAATCATTGCATATGGCAAAACTAATTTGCTAATTTAACATTTGCTATACTAATACTCTTGTTCAAAGTAAAGTTGCAAATTCAAGACTTAACTGTGTTTATATATAAAAGTCTTTTTGCGAATTCTAATTCTGCTGTTGCGGATGCAAAGAAAAATAAAAGAGCTGCACAGCCTCTGCCTGGCTCAGGATACGAGTACAGACAGAGGGTATTTATCTTAGATAGCTCTAGTTATATATCATTGATATATAATGGTGAAGCAATCCCAAAACTGGTAAAATTCATTGGTATGCATTTCATGTATCAGAATGCTTAGTTTTAACCAATATTTAAAACATTGATTGAATAGTGAATTTTGATTTCCACTTACTACACATTTTCTCACTATTAGTTTTGTTGACTATGTTTATTGTTCGGTATCTATCTTCTGTCCTTCTGACTTAAGTTTTTATTTTCTTTTTTCTGTTCTTTTCTTTTTTTTTTTTTTTTTTGGTGTAAGTCAAATTGAAATTTTATTGTTTTTCTTATTTCACTTAACTGTAGACTGTGGAATCTAAATATGGAAAGGTTGTATACAACAATTTTGTGTTGTACATTGGACAGCCCAGCAATTTATTATTATTTTTTGATTTTGTTTATTCATTTATAGGTTTTGCTTTTATGAAATTTACTTTTTCACAGAATGCTTCAAAAAATCCCCATCAGGTAGATTTTAGTTGCCATAGCAACTTCATGTTTGCTTTCTCTCTTTGTTCATTGTGTATGCGATTAGCAGAGACATTTACATATTTAATCAGAAGTAACGGAAGTTAATCATTTCTGTATGATTCCTGGTGACTTTTGAGTCACAAGCTTATGTATTACACTCCTGACATTTTAACTGCATGTATAACACAGTAAATAGCACACATCACCAAGGATCCAAAGGAATTAATTGTAGGAATGGGGGGGGGGGGGGGGGGGGGGTTAAAGTCAAGTGAAGAGGTGGATGTTATGGTGAAAGTTACCTTACAAACAATACAACATGTACTGATGCTACACTTTTGTCTCACAGTGTCAGTAGATGGAGAAGAAAAGTGCAGAATTCCACACTGCTTTGTCTGATGTTTTTATTGTTTAAATTTTGAGAGATTAATACATACATCTGTAATATGATTGTAAGAAATGGAGGGATAGGACAGATCAGAAGCATGGTCATGTTCAGTTACCATTATTTCTTTTTCTCAGAACATGCTTCATACATTCCTCTCCGGATATAAATCAACATTTTTATTTGTGTCTATCTACTTTAAAGTGTACCTAAATTTTCTGTTATATGCATGCCAGTCTTGGATTATTTTGATGTGTTCAAAAATTTACTGTAAGGATTGATAAACATAAGAACTATATATTATTTTTTAAAAAGATAGACATACATTTAAGCCATGTTTGAATGTTTTGTTTAATTTTTCTGTCTTTTATTTTAGAGTGTGGGTATTGACAAAAGTGACATACCTGACCTTGCTAAGGTGAGTTTCAGGTGAACACAGGTAACATGTGATCAAAATGCCATGTATAGCACAGTCTGCTGTGTCCTTAGTATAGAGAAACTCAAATAAAAGCTGAAACTGTTCATTTTAAGAATATTGCATTATCTGTGCATTTTAGTTCAAATTTATTTTAAAGAGTTGTTTCCCTTGAAAGTAAGCAAAAAGATCTAAGCAATTCATTATTTGTAATTCATTATCAATTTAATTGATAGTATTAATTGGTGTTAGGAATAATTTATAAATTTCAACAGGCTATAGATTTCATGTAATTTATTATTTGAGAAACCACTTGATTAAGGAATGAATTTAATAGCTACCCATTTTATACGGTATAAACTGGATTGGGACAGTTTGCACTTTATAAACCGCAAAGCGGTTTATAAAAAAGCATAAACTGTTCCAACCCACTTTATACCGTTTAAATTGGGTAGCTTTTAATTTCATTCCTTATAATTTAATTTTCATTCATTTAGTGTAAGAAAAAAAGACGATTGCCCTTGAAAATGACTTCAATTTGTACAAAATTTGTAACGTCAGGCGGATCGATACGTTTTTGATGCAAGTCGTTGTGACGTAGGCAACCCAATTTATTCAATATATAGTAAATTTTTTATCCAATCAAATACGGCATTTCAACCAGAAATTAATAAAAAATGAAGAAGATGGTACCCTTGTATTTTGTAATATGTTAAAATGTTGTGTAAGTTGTTATTATGCAAGGGGAAAATTTACACAAGGTACACAGTAAGCTTAGAGTCGAATCAAATTGCCCAGCTTATATTGTTAAAAAAAAAAAATTCCGGCATTTGTAAATATTGAAATCGCTGTAGATCACGGAATTTTGGCAACAGCTTATTTTCACGAGATTGTTGTTTGGTATTTATTTATTAACAAAATTACATCAATTTTGGTTACTGTTCTATATAACTTTTAGAAGTGTGAAAATTTTGTGAGCAATCTCGTGTTATTACGCAAAAATAAAGTTCAAATAAATAAAAAGGTGATTTACCGTACACAATGTGTGTGGAATATTTATATCAAAAACGTGTCCTAAACCCCAGAAGATACTCATTTTTACAGTTATTAGATCATAGAGAGAAACAAAGAGAACTCCAACGATAGGAAAGGAATTAAGAATTATAACCCGGCAATAAAATAAAAATGGTATCCACAGAATAATACTGTAGCTGTGATTTTGCTATAATTCAAAATCTTGTTATAAAGGTCTTGATTGAGGGAAGTATATCTAATATTTTATTGACCCTGTCTGTGACAGACTCTATTTCACTTTGTGTGTCTGTCTGTCAGTGTCAATCTTGAGCTCTGTTTCTTTCCTCGGTAGGGTTTGAGGAACAATGCTAACTCTGTAAGTGATTAATCTAGATTATTACGACATTAAAGGCTTGTGTATGTAGGCCAGGCATGTATGAATTGTGACTGAGAACAGTGTGTATTTAATGGTTCCTCATCAACTCTTAAAACTCTGTCATGTTTTGAATTGTGATGAGAAACAGCGTGTTTCCTCTTAATCACCAAGACTTGTAACACTGTCACATTCTGATAACTCATCCCCAATAACCTATCCAGACATTATCATTATTTTTACGTTGTTTTCAGGTCATGTTCATACAGAGTCCAGCGCCCTGAAGTGCACCTTAACACCACTCTCATATCTAACCAAACATTCTATTACGTCACCATTACTTCTCCAATGTGTTCCCAGTCATAATCATGTAAACAACAAAAATTAACCCTGTCTGCCTGTGACAGTGATTAGATTGAGGGGGGGGGGGGGGTAGAGAGAGAGGAGGTCTGTAAAGCTGTCCAGTACTCTTAGTAATTATAATAGGGACATCATAATCTGTAACTCAGGGGTGTGAAAGTCAAATCTCAGGGTGTAATCATCCTTAAGAAAATAATATATACATTTTTTGATCACTCTGTATAATATTTCACAAACACATTTTATTTTTTGATGATGTGTAGATAGAGACAAGGTAGAATATATATACCATTAATCTGGTTGTTATTTGTGTCTGTTTTTGGAGTATAACACCCTATTTTTTGTATTTCAGGAATCTCAGGTCAGATTTACAACTATCTGAAATACTTTACATGCCTTTCTCTTGAACTAAGTCAAAGAAATGTTTGAAGCAATATTACTTTACTGCTAGGCAGCATGATAATGTCACTGACATGGAATCTATCATTAACCTGTTTTATTATCAAATAAACATTAATTAATCACTTTTACATGGATACTTTTAAATATTAGAAGGCCAATTATACTTTTGTATTTTCATTTCAATTTCATGAAGGGAAAAGTATAGTGGGAAATCATACAACTATTTAGCTTTGTCTTCTTATTAACATGATTATATTAAATTTTGATTTTAAGTTTCTGTATGAGTTTATTGTCGAATTATGTTAATTGGAGGTTCAATTATTAGGGATATCATGGGTACCCCTGTAAAACTTCAAGAAATATTTATAGATATAGGCTTAAATTCACAAAAAAATTTTGCCCACCAAATTAAAATGATTTCAAGGTAATAATGATATATTTAAAATGTCATACATGAACAGGTTTTGTAAGAGCTAGGCTGTTGATAGGCTAGTGTTGGTGAAGGGAGAATTATATCTTATCTATACCTCATTGAAAAAATTCAATTTCAAAGGATGTAAAGATGGAATTTATTACAGATTTTCATGTATTTTTATCTGATTGAAATAAGATTCTGACAAATGAAAAAAAAAGATTTTGTGAATGTTGATAGAATCATAGAAATTGACTGAGTGTTCTTAATGTCTGTGTTTCTGTTATTCAAGCTTACATTAAAATGAACATGGCGTTTTGATCATGGCATGCATGCTTTATATCTTATACTTTCTAAATAACAAATATATGAAGCAAATAAAAAGAAATACTGCTATTATGCATACAATGTAATATTTCTGTGATCGCTACACAGTGAAAATAGTGTAATACATACACAAGTGGTAAACTGGGTAATTGTATATCATTTTGATCTAAGCCCTTTATGTTTGTTTGAAATTTTCTATGACTACAGCTTAATTAATTATGTTAATGATTTAGGCTCCCTCTAGTCTCCTTGATGCCTTAGAACAGCATTACCAGTCATTGGAAGGGAAGAAAGGGGTGACAACTCCAGTCAGTGGCTCCAAGTAAGTATCGGGGTAATCTCAAATAGGTCATCTCATTCTTCTTATAAAGTTCTGTGTTTTATTACCATTTTATTGTTGACATGAATCTTGTTGTGTTTATTCCAAATTGATATTGGGATAGTCACAGGCTACTTGTCGATGTTTTATAATTATGTTTCTCTATTTCATACCTTATCTAAGTGACATAGAAACTTTTTTTAGGTGTATGACAATAAATTTTTAAGGTACTTGGTAAAAACTGAAAAACGATTGGATATGAACCTCTAAGAATAGGAATTATTTCTGCCAAAAGCATTCATTGTGCTTAACATACACATCTTGTTTATAGGGATATTTTTAAATTCTGTTTTGTAATTGAACTGTGAAATATTTCAAAATACACCTTGAAATGAGACATTGACTTGATGTCTGCAGTGAAGATCTGATATTGAGTGGTACTGCAATGCTTACACTGTAAGCTCTTAAAACAACACCTGAACATAGAAGAAATTATGACTGTCTGAACATTGTTCTTACTGAATTTTTTGCCCGCAGAAAAACTGTACCATCAATTCCCGTAAAACTGCATATGGCTTCCCAAACAGGCAAAAATTCACAAATAAAAAAGATATTAATCTTGCTTTAAACAAAATTCTAGGGAGATGGAAAATAAAATGCTCTTTATAAAATATAATCCTTTGTGGAAATGCAAATATTATAATGTCCCAGTCTAGACTTGTACCATGTGGTTTAAAAAGACAAAGAATTTTCATGGTATTCAGTTATAATTACCCAACTGAGCTTGGCCAAGCAGTCCCACAATTAAACACATTATCTTTCACGCCCGTTCCTTTAGTTTGTAATGTTATCTGTTACAGCATATCTTTACCAGCGTAAGTATGACTTGTCATTGATAACTTAAGTCATTTCATAAGGGGAGGCAATCTTTGCTGTGTCTTACACTGTGTGTAGAGTTATCCTTCTTTGTCAATTTGACAGTAACCTGATTAACTTAGTGTTCTATGTCTTTTTTCATCCATCATCATCATCAAATTTTTACCTTTTTCTATAAGCACCCCCCAAATTCCTATATTGAAATGAAAGGCCTTGTATCTTTCAAAGAAGAAATGATTGAGACATAGTAATTCAAAAAAAAAAATTGTTAGATCATATCAGGATCATTGTCAGAATACAGGGTTACAAAAGGGGGGCAATGCTTTGAATTGTATTAAAGAAGAATTCAAACCAAAGAAAAACAAATTGTCTGATTATTATGAAAATATCCTTAAAGTTGCATAATGAGTCAAAACCATGTGTTTCTTTTAAGAAAATTGTATCACAAAACAAAAGATATCTGTGAAATATGAATATGTCGAAGTTTTGACAACTCAACTGCACTGTAAAGCAAGAAAAAAACTGCATTATATAAGTGCCGGAAAAACAAATGTTGTATCTATCGCTTTGTTTTTATCGTCAATGTCAACAATGTCAAGGTCACGCGTCCTTTATTTTTAGCGTGAAACTTGTAAACAATACTGAATTGGGGCAAGCAGAAGTAAGGAATAAATTATAATCATCTTTTTTAAAGATTGTATCAAAATTCTCAGTCATCCGACATTTATATCTATGGAATTGAAACCATGGTAAATTCTTCAACTTTTCAGCGCATGCGTACAATAAAGAGGAAGAAGTGAAGCAATATTTTTGTGATGGGTTATATACAAAGATTTTTTTTACTTTTATTTTTCTCAATTAAATTAGATTTTTTAGTTTCTGAAACCTGTAATTTTCTGAAATCTAATATCTTCAAGAACTGAACAAAATTTGCATGTGTCATGCAAAAATTCTACTTTTGTCAATTTTCCCGTTTGTCCGTCACAGTGTCACTTTAAGTAGTTCATACATTGTATTTTGCCAGCCATTGCTGTTGGGACCAAGTGATTTGGGTTCTCAAGTTTATAAAGAAAAAAAAATCATATGATGAGGGTCAGGAAAACCTGCCCTGGACACTAATAATGACACCACATCTGTTCTGAGTAATTGTTGTAGAATTCTGTATTTAGAATTAAAAAACAGGTATAAAAACAAAACATGATAATAATAATGACCCCCCCCCCCCCCCCCCCCCCGGTAAAAAAAAAAAATTAATAATAGAGGAAGGAAAATTATTTAAACAACCAAACTTGTTTTTTTCTGCAGGATAAACTGAACTGTTGTGGTGTTCATTAACAGATGAGATTCTCTTCTCTCTCTACATCAGAGCGTAACCCTCTCATAACTATTTAATGATGTTAATAACTAGCACTGGGGAGTTGTGCTATTTTCATTTCTAGATATCTCGCAATAAGAAGGAGTAAATGTCATTTTCGCCTGTAAATGAAATACATGTAACTATTGAAGTGTCATCATGTGGACCATTTTGCAGTATTAACTCACAGAGTGATTTGGAGTTGGATTGTGTTCATTCACAAATGAAGGGAAAGTGAAATTCTTTCTTTCTTTACCAAGACTTAGTTATCATAATTTTTTTTCCAGCACAAGTTAACCTTGATTAGGGCTCTCACACCAACTAAAGCTGGTTGTACACAATATTGACTTGTGATATGAATATTTCCATAGTTCAGTGATAATGAATGTAAAATGATTATTTATTTATTTTGTGTCCTTAGGCCCGTGGGTTTCGCAGCAGCCATCAGCACTATTTCTAACAACACGCCAACAATAAATGTCTCTGAGGAGGAACGCCAGCGAATTCTGGACGAGGAAAATGCCCGTCTCCAACAGCTCAAGGTAGACAACTCCTCCCATAAAACTTCAGCTATTGCTTGTTGTTTTGCTAGTTGCCAAAATTTATCAGTGCATTTTGTCAATTTTTTTTATTTTATTTTTATTGTTGAACAAATTCTGTCATTTTTATTTATTCCTTACAAAACTAATCAAAAGTTACTATAAATTTCTACTGGTTGGAAATTCACCTCGTTAAAATTTAATTGAAAAGAATGTGGCACAACTAACTCTTTAACTTTATGTTGTTTATATGTGTAGATTTTAATCTATTTTGTTGGTCATTAATTATTACTCTGTTTTTGATAATTTTTTATAAAATTTTTGTTGCATGTAAGGTTGATTTATAAAACAAACTCAGAAAGCATAGATATTAAGATAAATGAAATATAAATGTTACCAGCTAGATCATGTTATCTTGGAAAACAAAACCAAAGCAGGCTCAGTAAACATTGAACACTAGAACACAAAAGTAAACTGAGATTTATTTAAAATGGAGGAATGTTTGTAAGATATTTCTGTAATCGTGCTTTGAGTTTTTTTCCAATAAAAGGAATCTTGTCAGAAAAGCTAGTGAAACGCTTTCCATTCAAACCAAGTGGCCTTTAACAGTGTAATATACATAAATTATGAAAAAAGTTTATTTTAATGAATTTGAATTGCATCTTTTGGTTTGATTGGTTAGTAGCAAGCTTATAACTATATTTCATTGGTTACTGATGATCCTTGTTGCATTTGATTGGTCAGTGGCTTCCCTGACTGATTGCTGTAGTGTGCATGTTGTTATGCTGATGTCTGACTTTTCTCTTTCTTATCCACTCCTTCAGAAGGAACAGCTTGGCAAGAGCACTGCTGACTCTCCAAATAAGGTAATACTTCCTGTTTAAGACATGGGACATTAAAGGGGTCTTCTCAACAGCTGATCAGAATATCAAGTCAGGGATCTTCTCATCAGCTGTTCAGATTATTTGAAGCAGTTTATAGAGTTTTCTGGTTAAGATAAAGTGAAATAAAATTAAAAGATTTTTTTTTTATTTTGGACTGGAAAAATGATAAAAATGGATCAGAATTATTAAAGAATATCAGAAGATTATAGAGGTTTTATGCTTCACTGTTCTACAGTAATTTCTCAGTTCTACTGGAACTCTGCAGTTACTGTAGAATTTTGTGTGACATGATAGATTGTGTAGACAAGTGTGTAGTGCTGTAGTCAAGTTAGTAAGATGGACAGGTAAGGATCTACTGTACAGGTGTATTTATCTTGCTGTTGTGAACTATGCATGCTGTACATATCATATTCAGATTTAAAACAATATTTATGTTGTAAACATGCAAACTTTTTAAGGGAATCCTTTTTAACCTTTTTTAAATATGAAAAAAAAAAACAACCAAAAATGAATCTCACTATGTGTTGAATTTACATCATTTTTGAAAATGCAGAAAAATTTAAAGTAGTACATTAAAATTTGCAACCATCTAGCCATGTTTCCATTGGTAATCGAATTACCGGTAGAATGTTTTAAGTTGTGTTTGAATCAGGGTTGAATAACCCTAACTTTTTATCTGTACAATCAAGCGGTGTACTAGTAAACATGATAAATCATTTAGTTATGAACATTGTTCTCATTAATTCAAAGGCCTGAAAAGGAAATGGCTAAAATCCAGAGCATAGTCAGAGTTATAAATTTAAAAAGTTAACTTTATAAGTATTTACTTATTGTCTTGTGCATGCAGCGTAGAAATTTTTCTGCATAGTTCATGAACCCAAACATGGTGTTTGATATCAGTCACCACCCAAAGCATAAAAATTCACTGAGTTTTATAACAAGCACAACATAAAATGCTTATTGAAAGGTCACTTACTTAAAGGTCAAGGTTATTGATAAGACAATTCATGATGAGATTTTAGTTATTGTTTCCTTTCATCATTTTGTATTGCTGAAGAAAAAAGAATGTTCAAAGTATTATTGACAAATACTGTTTGGAATAGATTAATTATTAATTGTTATGTGTTTATTGGTTTTGTTGGATATTTAGAGGAGAACTAAAGCTAATACTTGTATTTAATAAAATTCTGCATATGATGAAAGAAGTTTAAGCAGACACCTTTATCAAATGCTAGATCTTATTGACTTTCTTCTACTTCAAAAACTGTTGAAACAGGCAAGTCTCTGGATCATTGTTGGTCAGGTATAACGGCATAGAAAGGGTACATTAGAGTTTTTGTCATCTGTTTTATTGTTTTACAATGATGTTTTTATTTCACATAGGAGCAGAGACTAAAGGAACTAGGCCAGTCCCCCCAGACTACCTCCAATAATCCCTTTGCCACACAGACTCAGAACGGAACGAGTGATCTACTGGGGTCCCCCATGAAGTCAGCTCAGCCCCCCTCAGCGAGCGACGACCTACTTAGTCTCACGGGGAACCCTTTTGTTCAGAACGTACAGAACGTCATGGCGATGCAGGCCGCGACACAAGCCATGAGTCAACCCAACTCCTTTGCTCAGTGGAATAATACACAGAATCCCAGCATTCCTGGTAAGGTCATGGAAAGGTCACATCTGGAAGTGTAAGGGTTACCCATAGACAGGGTCACTGCTGTCATCTTATGCTGTCTAACAAATTGATATAAAGTTTTTCCTTTTCATTGCATTAAAGAGTACAGAATCCAGACATTATAAACCTTTTATCCCAAGAGCATGTTGTACTGTTTCACACACAGTGCATGTACATTAATATTTCCCATCCTTTATATAATTAAAGATGAATTTCTTATTAAGTCGTTTAAAATAAGCCCTCAATAAGAGTTGTGAATACCTGGTTTTGATTGGTTAATTCTGATGACTTTGTTCCTTGCTAGCTACGAGTGGTTTGTTCACGTCAGATGCTGATTTTGAGAAAGTGTTTCCCAACCAATCTGCCACCATGTCAACGGGTATGATAGTCCTTTGAGCATGCTCAGTCTTGGTGGTATTTAACACTGTGTTAACGACAGTTTTCTTGTTTTGTTTCTGTGTATAACACCACATACTGCTAAATAGATTGGAATGGGATTTTTTTTAAAAAGTATTTACCACTTTTTATGAGTATAATTTCTTAACACTACATTGTATGGTAATATCCATCTGTTGTTATTTGACATACACGTCTTGCTAAAAGTTTAGGCTAATTAGTGTCTTAGAGCCAGTTGAATAAAAAATGTTCACAATTTTAATGTTAGATACAGAATCAAGTGATCCAGCTTCCCTCAGTGGCTTGTCTCTTGCATGATTTTGTCATTTAAAATTGTTTGAAAAAATAACCCTGAATGAATCTGCCACATAAGGTAGTATTTACTCACAAGATATGGAACATTGTACAAGATAACAGCAGAGGGGATCACACAACACTCTCTGTAACAGGGGCCAGGGCATTCATTGGGAAAATCTGTGACATTTGGGGGAAAGTTAGGAAATCAACAAATATAAAAACATATAACATTTTGTTCTGGTGTTTTGATATCAACTTTATCACTGCAAATGTCTGTTGGGGAAAAACAACCCACACCATTCAAATGGGAAGAATGGTTCCTAGTTTGCATTAGGATTGGGTTTGTTCAACAAATCTGTTTACATACAATCTCGAGTTCTGTTACAAAAATCTAATAATATTCCCTTCTTAGCAACCTCTGTATTTGTTGTATAACAGGATAGTTGTATTACAAGATTGTATTAAGGAGAAAGTTGTATTACAGGATTATATTACAAGGAAAGTTGGATTACTAGATGCTGTATAATCAGCCTGATTATTGTTGTAGTTTACAGAAGGTATTACATACATGTGTTCCATTGCTTCACGTTTTTTTTTTATCCTTTTCTGTATAGTAGAATGTTCTTCAATGATTTCATATTGTGTACTTTATTTTCAGTTTTCTCTCCTTGATTGTTTGGTTGCACATTTAAAATATACTAACAAAGCTTATCTATTGATTGCATGTATACCAAATCCCCAAGCCATTGTGGTAAATACTAAATACATGTATTGATAAATAAAAAGTGGTAAACTATCTTACTGAGCAACTTTTACGGAAAAGAATTAAAATAAAAAAAAAGAAATTGAATTAATAAACAATCTTTGGAATTGATACAATAATTAAGGAAAAAAGGAAAATGTATAACAATGGCCTGGAGAGGTGTGTGTCATATATTACTGATTGTCTCTAACTGCATGTTTATATTTACTGTCTGTCTCTAGGCCAACTAACAGATGCCACAGGTCTCTTAGTTCCCCAGACTCCACAAAAACCAGGTACTGTTATATACAAAGTGTACTGTAGCTATATAACCAGACTGCACTGTAGCAGAATTATGTTACACAAGATTTTGCCTTCAAAGCTCACACTGTTACATAAGGAATATTTTTTGAACTCCCACAAAATCATGTACTTCATAATAGAATACAATCAACAACTGAAGGAAGTGTGTTTCTTGATAGTCATGCCCTCACCATACAAATGGCTTACTGATTATAGAAGCTTAGTGCTTTCTAAAGTCTTGTATTTTAATTTTAGACTATTTGGCTAGAGTAATTCACTGTAGCTTAAGATATATGAGGGAAATAACTGACATTTTCTTTGTGCAAGGTAGATAACTCTGCATTGTTTTGTTTGTTCACACTGCCAGACCTGCTGTCTCAAGAGGACACTCTAGAATCTCTAGATCCCCTTATGCCCACCTCCAAGTTGTCCACGGTAACCACCAATAGCGGACTGGCATCTGGTGGTATCTTTAGTGTGGAATGTTCTAAAGAAGACAACACGTCTCTGTTGTCATCCTTTGGGAGTTCTGATGTAGCAGGCCTTGCTTCTTTTGGGAAAGGAACAAACATCTTCGGAGCTGGTTGTCCCAGTCCTACCATTGGAAACATCAGTTCTGTAGGTGGTGCAGGAGCCACCATGATGGGGACCACCTCAGGTTTACTTGATTTCTCCTCCATACCGCTCAGTCTACAGTCACTGTGTTAAGACTGTTGTTTTCAGTTTTCATTTCTGGATAGAACTTATGACCATGTGGTATGGAGGAGATTAAATATGTCAGTGGGTGTTTAGGACAGTTCTGTTTGTAACGTAGGCACATGGTAGCTCTGTCAGAATTATCTCTGATTTCACTTTGTTTTAAGTCCCCCTATCTTAGTTTTAGTATTGTGGTTTAGTTTAGAGAAACATTTTATGGTTGTTTTCTTATTTTTTCTGTAGAGTTTGATATAACCTTTAATTTCTTATTTTTTTTTTTTGGCATTATGAGCACAGCTGGATGTCTTTTTGTTTCACTGAGTGTTAAATTTCTAGTGGTACTTTTTATTTCTTTGTTTATGACCCTGAGATAAATAGGGTCATTTGATTTCTCAGCAGAAAAATCTGTCTATTAGGATTGAAGCAGTATCTCTGAAACATTTTGTTTTATTTTCTTGATATGTATAGGAATGAAAGGACATTCTAAGACCTTGAGAAGTTTAAATAATTTTCACTGCTGCACTTTCATTTGGTATTTGTGAGCAAGTTTTTCACTTTGATATTTTGTCCAAGCATCAACTCAAACAGCTTTGACCATATATATATATATATATATATATATATATATATATATATATATATATATATATATATATATATATATATGTATATATGTGTGTGTAATTCAGGGATGATAGATGATGGTCATCAGGTCATTAGGTGTACACTAGATGATTTGTTTTCAGAAGTAATCAAAATATTGAAATATTTGACTTCAACATTTCAATTCATTTTAATTCAATTTCATTCAACATCAAATGATTTTATTTATTTATCCTCAGGCTGTTAAATAATAATTAGTATTGCATTCACTCTAAGTTTTATCTTAAAAGATAATTTCAAATTTTTTATAAATCACTTTATAAATATGGTAAACTCTACATAATTGAATTCATGGAATTAATCATCATAGCAAACAGTTCAGTGAATATATTGAATGAAAAAAAGGAGTTGGTTGTTTACTACTAAAAATTTTGTCACTTTAGTGAAAAAAAAGATATATAAAGTAATGGTTTCAACTTAGATATTATTTTGCAGAAGACATACTTGTTTTGTGTGGGGAGATTGATTCTATTAGTTGTGTGACTGTGTGTTTTTTTGTGACATGTCCCAAATCTTTATTGTGTTTGTTAGATTTGTGTTAGAGACATTTAAATATGTATCCATTTGGTTCCACTTTCAGTATACCCAGGGCCACCAATGCCTGCTAGCCCAGGTTAGTTCACAATGGAATTCAATCAAATATTTATTGTGTACTCCAGATAATACATGGATAAGACACTGCTATGCTGTTGGAACTAATATTGATGTGTATTTTCATTGTGTTTTCTAATAATGTTGAATATTTATGAAATGTACAGGTTGTTGATTTGTTTAATTGTTCACTGTACTATTGACTGTGGTACTAACATCCATTGAAAAGTAAAGCGACTTGAGTGACTTGAGTATTGAAGTGATTTTAAAATCAAAGTAAATTGTTCTGCTTTACAAGCTCTCCAACACAGAAGTTTGACTCCTACTTTTAAAGATTCAGGTATTAATTAGATTCTTGTATTATACAGTATATTGATTTCATAACAAAATGGATAAGAATTCTTGACTCTTGCAGTGCAATTTCCACAGAACATGTGATATTGAAAGTAAAGTCAATGTTTTTTAAGTGTTTGTAATTGGTTTTATTTGCCTACTAATATCTAGAGTTTACTTGACTCTGTTGCCTTCCACAGCTCCAGGACGTTTAAGCCCCGCCCTTGTTTCCACCGACCAATCAGGTGATCAGGCTGTCACATTCAGTTTCTTCCAATCTGGGTTTTCTTTTATTGTTTGTTTATAGTTATGTCTTCTTTTCTTTTGTATTTGAGTTTCAGGTTTGAGTCATGTTTCATCTTGTTGGTTGTATAGTCCAGTTTTCAGTAGATAGAAATTTCTAAATTTTGATTATTTTTCAAACTTATTTTTTGAACATATACATGTAATGTAAAAATTTAATGTACGTAAAATTTATTTCCCCCAACCATTTCTGTTCTTGATAGTTGACAATAAGCACTGTGCTTTCCCTTTTACATAGATGCAGACTCTCATAGATATAATCACAATTATTATTAAAAGTAATAATCTTTATAAGAGTTGCTGATCCTTAGGCTATAGAAACAAGTTTCAGTAACTCCTGCTCAGAAATATATTTATGTAATTTCCTCAATATTTATGATGAAAAACTTTCTTTAAAGTACATTTGCAACATTTTGTTAAAGTTTATTTTACAATTTATATGATTTTTTTAATTAATGCCAAAAAAATGTGTACTTGTATAATTTTTTTGACTGAAATAAAAAAGTTGTTGTGATATTAGTTTGTACAGTAGTGTTTTGTCTTTCTGCTGTAGGATTTGATGCATTTGGTGAAGTTTTGAAACCAACATCAACTGTAGATGGGATGAACAGCACAAGAAATGAAAAACTTATCAACAAAGACCTTGACTCAAGTCTCTCACAGCTGGCTGGCAACCTCAATATCAAGGGGTCAGGGTCACAGGTCAAAAAGTAAGTCATGAAAGGTCAAAATAGGGTCATGATCTAGGTAGCATGTAAAAGGAAAGAGAGTTCTGATGACAAGACAATTTTTGTGTAAGAAGTGTATGATTTACATATTGATTGATGTCAAACATACTATAGCCAAGAAGGAAATTCATATAACGTATAAATAGAATTATTTTTTGATTATTTAGAATCAGAAAATTTTATTTAAAATAGGATTTTCAAACAAATTACATAGAACTTTGTAGAGCTTTTGACCAACGGTCAAAATAAACAACAAATAAAGCGTTAAAATAATCACAAAACTACTATGATAGGAATTGTAGAAGATAAGAAATTTAATTTTAAAGATCTTTTTTTACCCTTGCTATTTTACAACCAATTTTATTGTAAAAATCAAAGAATCAACCTCGTTTACTGGGTTTCGTAATATACTGTGTACCACACCTGATTCTAATGCATAGGTAAGGTGCAGACACTGTTGTATAAGCTAAATACTAAAAAAGCGATACTTAGTAATTGACAAATAGAATAATATTGAAGTAAATCCTTCCAAATTCTTCAACTGACTGAAAAGAGATGTCTTCATTTAATTCAACATTTTTGTTTTCTTTCAACAGTGTCTGGTTAATTTGGACATAGTTCAATTTGGATCATAGCATAAGGCCCCAAAGCTATAAATGTGCTTATTCTGTTAACAGTATTTGATTTTATTATACACCTACAGAGTATTACTCAGTTTTACTGTTGATTTTATGCAATCACATTATGGTGTGATCTGACGTTCCGGATCATCACACTGTGGTTTTCTGAATCCATATCACCCCTCTCTGAAACTGATGATGTAGTACACAGTATGCATGCCATTTTTTTTTTTTCCTTGTGTATCAAAATGTTCCTTGAAAATTGTTTTGTGTAATGGATAAAGGTTGAATAATTGCATCCCAAATGTTTTCTGTTTTAGTTATTTGCTTATTACAGAGGGGTTACCGTACATAATAGATTTATCATTATAAAAGTAACTTGATCCAAAGAGCCTTATTACGTATTTGACAGGCGCGGATTATCAGATCAAACTCGACGCTCCACGTCTTGTTTGATCTGATGATCGGCATCTGTCAACTCAACGTGATACAGCTCTTTCCATCAAGTTATTATCATAATATTATATATTTATATTTAACTTTTGAAACTGTTTGTATGTTGGACACAATTGAAGCCTTTTAGAAAGGCTTTTGATATTTTATGTGTAAATCATGGAAAACTAATACCATCAAAGGGTACATAATTACATGTTTAATATTTCAGACAACAGCATGACTGGCAGCCGAAGGGCGAACAGAAGAAGACGGGTGGTCAAAACTGGCAGGGAGTGACCCCCAATGTATCGTCCACCACCTGGACCTCGCCAAACTACGGTCAACCCATGGTAAATAGTGAGCCCAATTTGACTAACCAGTCTACCATGGTTAACTCTCAACAGCCTGTGGTAAATATTGAGAATCTTTGTGGCCTGCGAGTGTTGTCACTGGTGCTTGTTTGAATTCAGTGGTCTGCGATTGTTGTCACCAGTGCTTGTTAAAATCCTGTGTTCTGCCATGCTGTCACCTGAGCTTGTAGAATTTTGCACTCACTTGTCTTGTAAACACATGCTCCAGTCCTAGTTTGGTCAAAATTTTCTGTATTGTTCTGAAAATTTACATTACCGTATATGGCTGAATATAATACGCATTGGTGTAAAATACACACCCCCCTTTTTTGGCTTGAAAATTTGGGGGAAAAGCGCAGTCGGTTGTAATATACACTGTCAAAAAATTGACCAAGCAGTAATGTTGTCTTTTTTACATCGCGGTAATTTTAACTTAAAATCTTTGTGGAAATAATGTATTGAAAATTTAAGCACAGTAACTTTTCATACGCGGACTTTGTTTTTTGAGCTTACGGTACTCCTGATTTTAAGCATGGCGGTATTATTCATAGAAATAATTAAATTATGCATTATAAATCATTTTTAAGCTAACGGCAATGTTGTCTTTAAAAATCGCAGTATAATTTTATTAATTTTAACAAAGAACAAATGTCGTCCCATTAAATTTATATCAGTCTAAATATATTAATCTTGCACTTAAATCTTCGTATGGTAATGATTTTATTGAAGAAAGCACGAAATATTATTGCATTTTATTTTAAATTATTTTTACCGTAACTAACGGCAATCGTGACATTACACATTGTCTTTATCCTTGCAGAAATAATTTTATTTCAACAAATAAATACTGTTGAATTTTAGTTTGAACAGATCGACACAGTATAAATCTTGTCTTTATACATCAAGGTAATCTTCGTAGATATCTTATTTTCTACAGCGCACGAATATTATAACACTTAAGTTTTAACAGACTTCATATTTCCTTTTTAATCTCTTAATTAATTTAACAAGAGGCCGATAAGTATAAGATAATTAAAGTAAAATGGTAATTAAAGCTTGTGGCAAAGGAATGCGTGAACGTCTATAAATAACATTGTCAATGGCGGCCTACATGGAGACAATGAATATGCAGCTCAAATTAATTGGAGCTTGTTTTTAACATCATTTAACAACAGATTATCATTATCAACAGATTATAAATATAACATTTTCAAAAAGCCTACGTTCCAACAATAATTTTTCGAAGTTTTAGATACAGTGATAAACAAGAAATTGCCCATGTCTCTAGGTAGTACTACGATATGTCCGTATGATAGCCGTGTTTCACCTGAAAGAAAAAACTATCAAAATCCTATTGTGGTGTAAAATACGCAACCCTTTCACACGAAAACATTTTCTAGGAAAAAAGTGCGTATTATATTCAGCCAAATACGGTATTGGTAAATTCAAAATCATATATAAGCATATGAAATTAAATGGTAATTATATGGTAAATTTTTATCACGTACCTGTCCCAACCTACATAGAGAATTTTCTTTTTATTTTGAAATATGAATTTAAACCCTGACCAATTGTCCCAGTTGAATTCATCAAATATTGATAGTATATGACATTAATATTTTTTTTTCTTAAAATTATAAAAGATATTTTTGAGGATGAAGTTTTGACAATTCCAGAAGATTGACCTTTAACTTGATTGAATTCTAATGATGCTATAAAGTAGAATCAGATTAATCTTATTAATGGCCAAGCTCTCCCTCTCCTGACCCTATGACTTTCTTGACCAATGCCCAGCTGTCCCTCTCCTGACCCTATGACTTTCTTGACCAATGTCCAGCTCTCCCTCTCCTGACCCTATGACTTTCCTGACCAATGCCCAGCTGTCCCTCTCCTGACCCCTATGACTTTCTTGACCAATGCCCAGCTGTCCCTCTCCTGACCCTATGACTTTCTTGACCAATGCCCAGCTGTCCCTCTCCTGACCCTATGACTTTCTTGACCAATGTCCAGCTCTCCCTCTCCTGACCCTATGACTTTCTTGACCAATGCCCAGCTCTCCCTCTCCTGTCCCTATGACTTTCTTGACCAATGTCCAGCTCTCCCTCTCCTGTCCCTATGACTTTCTGGACCAATGCCCAGCTCTCCCTCTCCTGTCCCTATGACTTTCTGGACCAATGCCCAGCTCTCCCTCTCCTGTCCTATGACTTTCTGGACCAATGCCCAGCTCTCCCTCTCCTGTCCCTATGATTTTCTGGACCAATGCCCAGCTCTCCCTCTCCTGTCCCTATGACTTTCTGGACCGGAAAAGATTGGAGATTTCTTGTTATGTTTTCCCATCACCATTATAACCAGAGTGTGTTCTGTGTTCACCGGTGCATTTTCTTGATGAGATTTTGTCCTGCACACATTGCCTGCTTTAAGTAAAATGTTGTCTTAACTTTGATACAAACTGTCACTGTAGGTCTTCTTGATGTACATGTATTTACTATTATTTACATTTGGATGGAGTTTCAAATTTTGCATGATAATAAACCGTGACTTCACTTATTAAAGCTCATCAATCAGTGAATCAGTCAATTAATTAATTAATCCATCAGTGAGAATTACATTCTGTATGCCCTTGGTAGTGTCCGATGAGATTTGACTATGAAGGGTGACGGCCAAGGAGGACATAACCTTTCCTTGTATGTTAACTCTTTATAAAATTGTATGATACATATTGCAGCCAAGAATGTCATCGGTCAGATTAAAAAGATGACTTACACAAGAGATAAGCTATTTATTGTCCCATCACTGGTCACCACTGTTTTGGTTGAGGTCAGAACTTCTGCAGTTCACTCTCCACTCCAGGCCTTGCTTTCAAACCTTCTGTTGTTTTGTTGTTTAATTAAGTTGTTGTAGATTTTTATTTCTGATTGCATTTATTTGGTAGATGATGTGTTATTGATGTATATTCCTTCTAGAGAATTATTTTAGTAAGCATTTTAACACAGAGAATGGACCTGTGGTGCTTATAAGAAAGATTCTTTGATATGATTAACTAAAAATAATGCTCAGAAATTGGTTTGTTTTGCTAAGAGATAAAGGTAATAGATCCTAAATTGACAGAATGACAAATATCTGTAAGGTTGTTACGGTTTTAATTTTTGTAGATGATGGCACCAGTCATGGGATACGGAGTACAACCAATGATGCAGGTGTGAACTTATTCAGATGAAGACCTGTAGCCCTTTTCGTAAAAAAATCTTAAGTTTTTTGTGTATGATTTTAAGACCTGTAGCCCTTTTCATAAAAAAATCTTAAGTTTTTTGCATATTATTTTAACTTTTAGTGTATTCCATTTCTCAATTACTGCGATTATTTAATCTTTTTTACATTGATCTTTTTATCAATCTGTGACTCATTTTAAATTGTGTACAAATCACTTCACCTGATTTTCCCTGATGCTTACATCCAGCAACCAGGAATGATGGGCATTAGACCAGTGGGTATGCAACCAGGGATGGGAATGCAACCTGGCATGGGGATGCAACAACCCATGGGAATGCAGCAACCTATGATGTATGGAATGCAACCTGGGATGGGACCCATGATGTCACAGCCCCGCCCACCTGCACAAACCAATCAGGATCCGTTTGGAGCATTATGAGAATCGTCATTTTCTATTCATCATTCAGGTATTAACAAAGAGAATCGAGGCTGGTCAGTTTCTATTCTCCCTGCAATTGACCAGTAGAAAGGGGGGGGGGGGGATTATGGAGATTCATCTTTCCACAGGTAAATAAGTTATGCTGAGAATTTTTCCTCAGCACAGCATTTTTAGCTCTTCTGAGCCAAAGGCTCAAAGAGCTAATGCTATGGCCATTTGTGCGGTGTGCGTAAACTTTTTAGAATATGGGCCATAACTCAAAAACCCCTTGGCCAATTATTGTCAAATTTGTCACAGGGTATCCTTGGCCCAAGGGCTCCCTTTTATACTAAAACTAGGGTTGTGACCCTTAAACAAGGGGAGATAATTAGGAAAATAGAAACAAAACTACTGGTTGCTAAAAAATCTTCTTCTCAAGAACCACTAGGCAGATTATCAACAAACTTACACAAAAGGATGAGGATATGTTGTAGATTAAAATTTGCACGGGGATTTACCCTGGGGCAAAGGTCGTGGTCTCAAGGTCACTTTAAAGTTGACCAAAAATTACATTTTATTAAAATGTTGATATTTTGCTTACTATAAGGACTAGGATCATCAAATCTTGTCAGTTGATGCATCTAAGGACCTCATATCATGTTGACTCAAAAGTAGGTCATGGTGACCTACTTTTTAAATTTTTGAAAATTTATTTCTTTAATTAAATATTGATGCAGGTCACCATGACCTACTTTTCAATTTATATGACTATAATTAAATATTTCAGGTACTAATTGGCTTAGAATTATCAAACTTCGTCAGTTGGTGCATCTTGGGTCTTCGGAGTAGGTCAACTGAAAAGTAAGTCACAGTGACCTACTTTTGAAAATTTATGGCTTTAATTAAATATTTCGGGTACTAATTGGCTTAGAATCATCAATCTTTGTAAGTTGATGCATCTTGGGTCCTCGGAGCACAACAACTGAAAACTACTTGTAAAATTTTATGGTTATAATTTTTAAAAATATTTTAGGTATTAATTGGCTTAGAATCATCAAACTTAGTTGATGGGTCCTCAGAGAATGACAAGTGATAAGTAGGTCACCATGACCAACTCTCAGGTACTAATTGGCTTAGAATTATCTTGGGTTCTCAGAGTGTTACATCTAAAATGTAGGTCATGATGACCTATCTTTGGAATTTCAAGGGTTTATCTAAATATACAGGATATTAGAGGCTTCAAATAGAAGTGATAGGTTGTACAGTTTATCAGGAGAGCGATTCAAGGCCCTTGGGCCTTTTGTTTTCTTTCAAAAGGAGTTGGAGCTGAACTTGGTTTTAAAATTTGTATGTATGATTTCTACTCAGCTCCATTGTGGATTAAAAATATAATAATCATCTGTTATTTCCATGTAGGTTTATTTAGGTTGAATGAGGTCTTGACATTGTTACATAGTGGTTTGTGAAGTCTTCTGAACTTCCAGTTATCATCACGTATCACTTACTGATTACATCTAGGTCTTCACATTTTACTAATGAAGTGTTCAATGGGGTTATGTTGTAGAAAGATTAATTAAGTATTAACATGTGAAAAACTTCCATAGTGTTTTTTTTTTAGGAATAGACATAGTCGTGTGAGTGTTTGTGAACCAGATAAGGGCAGGGAACAAATGTGTACATCATCGCCATGGCAACCATGAACTTCTACATTCCTACTCAAATCCATATCTGATCTATGCACGTGAAGAAAATGGCTCTCAAATATGGCTTTATCCAAAATCAGTATATGAAAGGTCAAGGACAAATATAGCATGACCTCTGACCCACCAGTAGTACAATAACTAAATCTACATAGAAACTCATAAAACCAGAGGCCAGCTAGTCATTCAGTTGTGCAATTGTGAGAAGGCCATAGTTACTGTTTTGTAAATCGCATCCCCTGTCTGAGAGCAGATGGGACACCCAAATCACGTCACCGTGTGTAAGTCGTGTCAGAAAGTAAAAATCAAGTGTATATAATTTATGTGTAGTCCAGAAGTCAATATCATACACAGTGGAAGTGTTAGTCAAGATTGAGAGAAAGGGAGTATGGTTGTGCTTGTATTCTGTTGGCATGGTAACTGTTACCATGGCTATTTTTATGTCATGACCTCATACTTTTCTACTTCATGTTTAGGTTGTTCGTTTCTGAATTGACTACAGATCTAGATAAGGCCAGCATGTTAGGTTTGAAGTTTACAACAATGTATTTAAAACAAATAAGTATGCTGTAACAAGTGATAGATGGACATTCATTTCATTTCTGTTAATAAACTTGTAATGTATGAGTGCTAAACAAATTCATTGTTATAATTTTTTGTTGCAATGTATATCCTGTGTTATATTGGTATAAATGGAACTATTACTGTTAAGTTTTAGTATAATGGTGCCCAAAATACATTTAAATAATATTAATATATTCACATATTATTCAATGTTGTAAAATTATTTAGTGGAATGTACTTTATGTAAATATCAATATTAGGAGATATGTTGGTGAATTTTAAATTGGTGTCAAAATGTGTTGGTCACTCCAATAGAGGTCAAGGTCAGATTTAGATGACCTGGACCATTTTCTAATTCTCCCTTAGCTTGGACTCCTACAAGTCTTAAGGTAGCTCCTTAGTGGTCCTATTATGCAGAACTTGAATTATCTGTGATTGTTAATTAATCTCACAACAGACACCTGTATCAAAGAATGTCAACAAAAACACATTCCAGATTGTCACAAATCTTACCCTCACTCAGTTAATTCAAATGTTCTAAATCACAGAACCCCTGATCCATTGTGGATTTGGTTGGAAATTGCCATTATATTTTTTATGTTTAATTTGGATTTCCATGTCAAAATATGAGATAAATCTAAAAATAGAAGGTAATAAGAACTTGCTATTAATTAATGTTGATAAAATATACCTTCTTTTTGTATCTCTTATTAGAATATAAAACTAATCCAATTAAAAGCAAATAGAATGTCATGATTCATTCCATTTTTGGTGACGTATTTTGTCCATGATTTCTTGAGCAAGCAAACAAATTGTAATATAAGTAGTTACAGACAAATGAGGGGAAGACAAAATTATCACATTTAAATTCTGCCTTAAATTCTGTCTGTACATTTCATGTAAACTTTCCGATTCCTGACAAACAAAAAATGACCGATGCTGCCATAATAAATGTGATATTTTAGGATCAGATCTGTTTCAGAACTTTTGTACAGAACTATAGCAAGTTTCGTTCAGATCTGTGTGAGAACTTTTGTAGAGAGCTGTAAGTTTCTGTTGATCAGATGTAGTTGCTCTAGACACAATAAACTCATTCTGCATCTGGGATTGTCGTTGATTATCTATTTTTTCTTTGGGGGGGGGGGTTAAATGTGTTCATTGAGAGGATTTTAAAAATGCTGCTTTTTGTGGTGTTGGAGTTTCCTATCGGTTTATTGACACAATTTTGATAAATTAAGCGGTGGGAACAAATGCCCAGGTCCAACTTGCAACAATTTTAATCCATTGTTTTTGCACTAATTTCGAACTACTGATTTCTCCGAATTCCTGACCAATAGTGACCAGTCGATCAATACAGAGGGCTCATGACAGGCTTGACCGGCCAACTGGGAATACTTACTCCTATTTGACACCTGATCCCTTCTCTGGTGTTTCCAAGTGTCTCTTGTTTGCCTTGTTTACGTTTCAGATTGTTTGCAGATATATGAGATCGATCATTGTTCAATATCTTCACCTTTTAATAACTTGATCCATTAATCTTATGGGTTTAGAAGGGATCAATGCACCCACTGGTCAAGTCCTATGATCTAGTAGACACATATAGTTCTAGGTCTCCTCTACTAGTATATATTCACTTTTTGTACAACATATCAAGATGCCCACTACATATAGTATGCTCTGATATAACTAAATTTAATCCATTGTCCACGAGTCCCAAGGTATACAGCAATACTAGTCCTAATTACAAGGAATACCTAGATTTAGGCATTCACTAGTCCTAAGGTATAACTAAATTTAGGCGTTCAGTAGTTTAAACAAGATTTAGGCATCTATTAAGCCTAAGGTATAACTAGATTTAGGCGTTGACTAGTCCTCAAGAATAACAAGATATAAGCGTCCACTAAGCCTAAGGTATTACTAGGCTTAGGCGTTTACTAGTCCTAAAATATAACTAGATTTGAGTGTCCACTTGTCCTAAAGTATACCTAGATATAGGTATCCACTAGTCTTAAGGAGTAATTAGATTTAGGCGTCAATTAGTCCCAAGATATAACTAGATTTAGGCGGCCACTAGTCCTAAGGTATAACTAGATTTAAGCGTCCACTAAACTAGTTCTAAGAAATAACTAGATTTAAGTGTCCACTTGTTCCAAGGTATAACTAGATTTAGCTTTCCACTCGTCTGAAGAAGAAACTAGATTTAGACGTCCCCTAGACCTATGGTATAATTAGATTTAAGCGACCATTTGTCCTAAGGTATAACTAGATACATGTATCCACTAGACTTAAGGTGAAATATATGGAGATAACGAACAGTATTCAAGCTCAAAAGTCCATTAAACCATACAAATTTTGGAGCAGAGCAAACACGGACCTCTAAAACATCAGAGGTGGGATCAGGTGACATGGAGGAGTGAGCATCCCCTGTCGACTGCATGGTCACACCCGACTTGTGCTCCTTGTCATAATGTCATGAGGAAATAACGGAAAATCCGTCGTCAGTTCAGTGTGTAAATAATGGCCAAACAATTAGTATGACGAACGTCAGTCAGCATGTGAATTAATGATAAATTGTATTTTTGCTGACAAGATCATTGTATTGACCATAGAACTTGCGAAGTGACAACTTTAAACGATAACTATAACTGAGTTGATTTTCCCCCTTGATTTCATGTCACAGAAATGGTATTATATGAATATAAATGTAATTAGCTCTTAATGATAATTGACAAATAAATAATCCTTTCCTCACATGTCACTGACAAGGTAAAACCAAAGAAAAGACAGCATACAATGCATTTATGAATTTATTATAAAAAGCACAACATTTAAGAACTTTACAATATAGTTTGCGATTAAGCAACAAATACTATTTTATACCTCCTAGTACGTAACATGAGCTAGTACTTAAACATAAGAATGTTTTATGAGGGTTGATATAAAAGTAATGTTACAGCTTCTAAAAAATCTTTAATAATCGGAATTTTCATCAAAACTTTAAATATTAATGTCCTTAGCTATTTTGACTTTTGTCCTAAAATTTCATTCAGATGTATGCAATACTTTATAAATATTAAAATAAACGCAACGTTTGGTCTCCTCTATCACCGCACGACAAGAATGTACCGACTTCGTTCTGATTTTTCTCTTCAACACTTATTTAGAATCTAATGATACCATGCGCGGATCTAGAGGGGCTCGGGGGGAATTTGCATAGTTACAAAAAGTATATACTGAATATATACTGAAGCAAATAAAAAATTGACTTTGTACCCCCCTCCCCCTACTTTATCTTAAGTATTCTATATAGGCCTAATCAATTGATATTTTATGGCAAGCATCAAATTTGATACGGGTATTTATATATCAAATTTTGTTGTTAACAAAATTGTTGATAATTAAAGATTTTATAGCAGTTGTAACATTACATTTGGATTAATCCTCTTAATTTCAATGTTTCACTTTGCCGGAGCAAATCACAGAGACCTACAGAGTACCTTAAGAATTTGAACAAAACGAAACAACAGTAAAGATCATTAAAAAGAGAGGTTTAAAAGATACGCGGATGGATTGAAAACGACGTCGGTACCATTCTTGCCTTGCGGCGATAGACAAAACCTAACGTGGTGTTTATCTTAATATTTTTTTTTAAAGTATTCTATATAATCAAATGAAATTTTATGGCAAAAATCAGATTAGAATAGAGTATTTGTATGTCTCTTGTTAACACAATGGTTGATTATTAAAGATTTTATAGCAGTTGTGACATAACATTTGGATCAACTCTCGTATTTTCAATGTTTCACTTTGTGGGAGCAAAACACAGAGACCTACAGAGAAAGAATTTAGTTAGTTTAAACAATATTTTATTGAAGAAATTGGCAATGGTACAATACATTAGTAATAAATACAAAAGAATTGGGAAACAAGCCATAAGGCTTATATTAATCCCTCTTTCTGCAAATTCAACAAGTGAGAGAAAATGTATGTGAATGAAACCTAAAATAGTAGACTCATATGGAAAACTTTCATACATTTATATTGTGAACAGTTTACTGGAATTGAAGTCGCTGAAAATCTCCAAAAATTCCAATTTTTACATAACAAAATAAAATTTACCTCACTCATTCATGCCACATCACTGATAAAAATTTGAACTGAATAAAGAGACCGAATAATGTCTCGTGGAAAAAATATCAATTGATTCGTTTTAAAATCTTTTGCTTTCCATCAGAAAGTTTTGGACAAGAAAAATATTTTGGTTTTCCCTTTCTGACAGATTTTGTGAACCATAAAGTAATATATCAACAGTTATGTGATGAGGTATTGCAAGAATAGTTCTATTTCGTACTCTTGTAAAATTGTTACAGTGGAGGAAAAAATGTTCGATACTTTCAATCTCGCCGTATGAACATAGTGGAGAAATACACAGATTTCTACGAAACATATGTTAATTCAAAGAACTGCATTCCAGTCTGAGTTTCGTATGTAAAATCTGACCAAGCCTACTCCCAACAAAGAAATAATTGGGTATTCTAAATAAATTAGAATTTAAGTATGATTTAAAACTTGAAAGGGATAGATTATTTTGAATCACCAAAGGTAATTTATTCCAAATACGTATTGTACTGGGAAAGAAGGAATTATAGTATAGTTGGGTTCTAGTTTGGATTTCTTGTAGTGAGTTTTCTTGTCTAGTGTTGTAACTATGTCTATGATTGCCATACTCGGAGACAATATTTACTAAGTAATCAGGGAAAGAATTTAGTTGAATAAGAAGAAAAAAAATATTCAAGGGTGGACAAGGGAAAAATTTCCTGTGATATATTTTAGGTTGAAATTCACAATTCAAAACAGCTATCCGTAACAGTGTAAAAGATGTTTGAACATGGTTTTTCGGTGTGTCTGTTTTTTGTTCCGTCAAAATGGCTCAGTTGTTTAAAGTGAACTGTTCTAGCTTGTTTGTAAAACGTCAACTTGTTTCCAAAGCATTTACCTGATGTAAAACCTTGTGGTTAGTACGGTTTTTTTTCATTACTGTGTAATTAGTAGATTTTGCGTGTGTTCTTCGATGAAAGATTTTCCTTCATTTAATATTTATTACAAATCGACTTTAGAAACACAGTTAATTACTTACTTAAATGCGCATCTGGTGCAACGAAATTGGTACCGTATAAGATTGACATTTTTACTGATCCCACCTCTAGTGTTTCTAGGGGTCCATGTTTTTCCCCTGTTTACCATTTGTTTTATTTACAGTCTTTACGGTATTTAAGAGGTTGATCACTATATGTCTGTTATTTTCACCTTTAACATTTACTGCAAAAATGCCAATATTAATAAAAATATTTTGATTTTTTAAACCGAAATGTACACAGACCTTCTACAGATTACAAAATCTAAATTGCACTACATTATGTTTTATAACTGAAACATTACAGTCTGTAATACATTATTTTATCAGAAAAAATTACACAGTACATATAATCTATACAACATTATTTTATGAACTGACACACTACAAACTCTTACTTTGTACTACATTAATGTGGTATTGTAACAGAGAGTGATTACAAACTCTTATTTGTACTACATTAACGTGGTATTGTAACAATGACTGATTACAAACTCTTCTTTGTACTACATTAATGTGGTATTGCAACAGTGACTGATTACAAACTCTTATTTGTACTACATTAATGTGGTATTGTAACAGTGACTAATAACAAACTCTTTTTTGTAATACATTAATGTGGTATTGCAACAGTGACTGATTACAAACTCTTATTTGTACTACATTAATGTGGTATTGTAACAGTGACTGATTACAAACTCTTATTTGTACTACATTAATGTGGTATTGTAACAGTGACTGATAACAAACTCTTATTTGTACTACATTAATGTGGTTATGTAACAGTGACTGATTACAAACTCTTATTTGTACTACATTAATGTGGTATTGTAACAGTGACTGATTACAAACTCTTATTTGTATTACATTTATGTGGTATTGTAACAGTGACTGATTACAAACTCTTATTTGTATTACATTTATGTGGTATTGTAACAATGACTGATTACAAACTCTTATCTGTACTACAT